TGAAGATGTCCTGAGCTCCAACTGAAGGTCTTTCCACGTTTCTTACCATGATCGGCTTTCTTATCAGTATGAATTTTGCACTGTGCAGTGAAGGCTGAACTAAATCTAAATATTTTTCCACCTTACTTATAGTGATAGAATTTCTCACCTATAAGAACTCTCTGATAGATAGCTTAGAATTACTGAAGGCCTTTCCATACTCCTTACATCATAAGACTTCTTGTTCATATCAAATTTAGCAGGTCAATTCAAGTTTCATATTCCACTAAGAGTCTTCCCACATTCTTAACACTGGTAAGGTTTTTAACCATTATGAATTCTTTGATGTACATTAAGGTCTCTACCACAAGTACTTCCCACTTTCTTTAAATTCATAGAGATTATTTCCAATATAAATCCTAAAACGTCCAAGAAAACTGGTAATAATGTTGAAAAGCTTTCCTATATTCCTTACACTGATAGGGATTCTCACCAGTAAGGATCCTCTGATGAATTCTAAAGGTTGTTCCACAAAGTCCTTTCCACCTTCCATCCACTGAAAGTTTCACATTAGAATTAATAATTCTCTGATGTTTTATCAGTTGGGACTTAAGTCTGAAGGTTGACCCACACTGCTCAGATTACAATAATTTCTGTCTAGTATGAATATTTTGGTGCCGAGTGAGGTTTGTCAGAACAGTGAAAGCCTTTCCACATTCCTTACACTGAAAGGGTTTCTCACCAGAATGAAGTTTACGATGCTGAAACAGGTTTGAGCTACGATTAAAGGTTTTCCCACAGACATTACATTCAAATGGTCTCACACCAGCATGAATAATCCTGTGCTGAATGAGAGTGGAAGCCCGCTTGAAGGACTTCCCACATACCTCACATTCAAAGGGTTTTTTACTTGTATGAACAATTTTATGTTTATTAAGTTCGCTGGGAACATGAAAAGCCTTTCCACATTCTTTACATTCAAAAGGCCTCTCACCACTGTGAGATTTCTGATGACGAATGAGATGTATATTAAGTCTAAAGAACTTCCCACATTCTTTACACTCAAAGGGTTTATTTCCACTGTGAATACTAAGATGTTGATTAAATTTTGACCTTTGACGAAAGAATTTCCCACACTCCTTGCAACGATAAGGTTTCTCATCAGTATGAATTCTCTGATGTTCACTAAGTTTGTACTTTCGTCTGAAGGCTGAACCACACAGCTTACACTTAAAAGGTTTCTCTTCAATGTGAGTTTTCTGATGCTCAGAAAGGTATACCTGAAGCCGAAAAGCCTTCCCACATACAGTACATTCAAAGGGTTTCTCACCAGTATGAATACTCTGGTGCTGAACCAGGTGTGATCCAGTACTGAATTTCTTGCCACATTCCTTACAGTCAAATGACTTCTCTCCAGTATGAATGTTCTGGTGCCTAGTGAGCTGTTCACCAGTTCTGAATTTCTTGCCACATTCCATACATTCAAACGACTTCTCTCCAGTATGAATGCTTTGGTGCCGAGTGAGCTGTGCCAGAACAATGAAGGCCTTTCCACATTCCTTACACTGAAAGGGTCTCTCACCAGAATGAATTTTCT